AAAAGTTACTGTAAAGTAAAGAAGACAAACTGAGCAATCTATCCATGGATCTCATGTGCCATGTCTGAATCAGAAGAAATTACTCCTATGCAAGTAAGTGTACACAGGGCTGTCTGCTACCTAATACAGAGTTACAGCCAGTAGCTGAGGTTGCTGGTCAATTGCTAGAATCACTTCAGGGTGTGAGGTGTGATTCTGAGGTTGCTAGTAAAAATATTCATCGTGTTTAGAAATAATGGGTAGAACAAGGATAGCCGAGTTGATGATGGCTTCTATTGATTTGAAAAGTGGGATCTGTTTTATATGACAGAAAGTGGGAGGCTTGCTTGCCACACAGCGCTGCAAATGGATGCCATAACATCTATATGTCTTTACCTGGAATGAAGTCCTATTGGAAACAGTGGAACTTGCTTCTGAGTAAACCTGTTTAGGATTGAACAGGAAAAGCTATATAGCACAAACTAAAGTCAAGCAGATTATGCAGCTACTATTCTCCAAGATGGATTCCTGTCCTTAATTCAGTAGAATTGTTATTGCTAAAGGCAAACCAGTTAGTGGAATCAGACTCACCCAAACCATCCCAGAATAACCCAAAAGAATATCTTGTTATTTCAGCATGATCTGGCTTTCTTACCAGGCCAAACTTGTTCACAGGTGTGGGTTTTTTTACCTTTCGTCCTGTGTCTTGTTTTGTTTTGATCTTTTTAAGTGCTGCCCATGGTTTTCTCAGTGCAATCTGTGCTCGTCATCACTCCTTGGTTTGGGTAGATGTAGAGACAATGCTAGGTCATGTGATAACAAGACAGCCCATGCTTCAGACACAGGTATTTCAAAGCCACAAAGTCAACAGAAAATATTAGTCAACAACCACCTCACCTTTGCATGCTCAATATTCCACCGTGGTAAAACAAGGCCAAAAATGAATTCAACCACACAGGAAACAACACTTATACTAAAACCTTAACCCTTGTTTCTTCACATCTTTACAAACACGTCCACATTTCCTGTCATTAGGGTTGCCAGAAGGTCTAAAAATGTCCTGTCCCTTTAACAGAGTCTTAATGGGATGTTGTTTACCAGCTAACGTTACGTACCTCCATTTCATGAAAAGATGCAGCTGCCCATTTCCTCACATTAATCCTACCTGTCACCCTCCACACAACAGCGATTGCTTCTGTTTAAGGTCCTTTTGGCCATATCTAGTAAAGTCCAGAGACAGCTGAGTAAGGTAGACTTTGTATTATTTGTATGTTCTTGTACAGAAGCATTTCTAGGTGACAAATAGCTTTGAATTTGTTCCGTCCCAAAGGATTGCACTTGGCAGCAATAAAATCAGAAAATAAAAATAAAATTGAAAAGTGTATACCTTTAACACATGCAAATGCCACAGCCTATTATTTTAATCTTAGTGCCCTCAAACCATCCAAAATAGCAGTTTCAAGCTTTTATGTGGTTCTGGAGGTGAGAGATGGCACTCTATTGTAATTAGGGATATCAGGCGAGACCTGGAGATCCCCTGGAATTACAGCTCACTTCCAGACTACAGAGATCAGTTCTGTTATGTATGCGGACCACCAGCAGGGGTCCGCGGATACAGGCAGGAGCTTAGCTCCTAAAGACAATAGGAACTGAGGATCCTACTTCCCCCAGCACGGACCAATAGGACCTATGGCGGGAAATTCAAACCCCCCAATGGGACTGTGGGTGTGTATATAGTTGGCCTTGCACGGCCATTTGGCAGTTCGATGTTAAGTACAAAAAAAGTGTGCAAACGCATGTCGTTGTCCAAGTCCTCCATGCTGCGAACCCAGTACTTTTCAGTTTCACCTGGAGAAACTGGATGCTTTGGAGGGTGGACTCTATGGCATTGTACCCCACTGAGGACCCTGTCTCCTCCCAGGCTCCACCCCCAAATCTCCAGGAATTGCCCCAACCTAGAGCTGGCAATCCTATCCCCCACCTCCTGCCAGCAGCCGGGGGGACCTGGCAACCCTAATTAGAATTCTTCTATGTGTACTCTTAAAACCAAAATAGATACATCATCGTTATTTTTCCTCTGTTCTCAGTGAAATTCACTCACAGAAGAGAAATTGGGAGTAGAGAATAAATGGGGCGGGGTTGATTCTACATATATCTGAATACTTTGTTCAAAAGAGTAATGAATTAAGTAGTAGTGAAACACTGACATACTGGGATCTGTTTTGTGCATGAGCAGAATCAATTTGTTTTGATTAACCATAAATTAGAGCCCAGAGGTAACAGCAATGTTTTTACCTAGCCAAAAAACCTGAAGTGACCTGGGAATTCAGGTCACTAGAACTTGAAGTGACTTGGAAATGTAGGTCAAGATAAGAAGATCTGGTTTTTCCACCAGCAAATACAGGGCAATTATTCACCTGGACAGAACAAACTATTATCTACCCTACAAGCCAGCCAAATTGTATCAGCCTTCCCTGTTTATGTAGAATAGTATTAGAAGTTACTTAACTGGAGGATCTTTGGGATACTGACCTTGCAAAGACCAGGAAGAAACAATTGACTATGTCAGATCTTGCCCCTTACCCTTGTACGTGTAAAAGGATTAGCAATCCAAAATCAGGAGCAGCAATAAGGACTGTGCTACAGTTCAGGTAATTTTAATACGTTCTATTTGGAATCCTTAACTTTGCTGATATTAGAGAACATGCATTTAAATAAATAAATCATTTGATTTGTATTGGAGAGTAAATAAGTAATCTTCTACCCAATACTGATAAAAATTTAGACTGGAAGTGCAAGGTCTCAACAGAGAAAGTTTGAATTAAAATATTAATACTGAAACTTACTCATTGACTGCATTTATTAGATACAAATTTGGGCCTTTGTGCAGAAGAAGGGAATATTTAGTTGTTTCCTGGCCTGTCAAATACCCCCACAACAAATTTAGTTGCTTTACTTGCCACAAGTTCCAGATGCACATTTGTCAGCCATGCAATGTCTAGTTTAGCATTGCTACCATAGAATGGTTTGTAGATATGGAGACGAGGATTAACTTACAAGGCACCCGGAGCAGCTTCCCTGGGCTTGGCAGAGCCCACCACCACACACAGCCCCTTCCCCCTAAAGAATAGGGAGAGCAGACTTCTGCCACTGTGCACACACAAGACCCTCTGGGGCTTGGGCAGTTGACTAAGTTAGTTGGGGAAGGCAGCAGTCAGCTTGTCATAGGCTGCATGAACCGGCTTCCTCAGCAGCAGCAGCAGCAGCAGCAGCAACAACAACGCATGCATGTCTGCTTCCTTGGCAGCTGGTTTGAGGGTTACAACTTGCTTGAACCTGGGGTGGCACAGGTGGGAAGACAGCAAGGGTGGACCCTGGTGAGGAAAAGCAGGGCATGTTGTGCTTCTGGAACCCCATCCTGCAGTTCTGCCCAGGGCCCAAGAATCACGAATGCCCCAGTAGACAAGAGGACACTCTTCAGTCTTATTAGGGAAGATGATTATCCTCTCCAGATTGGATTACATTCCTTCATTTTCTATAGGTATTTTAATGCAATATCTTCAAGATGAATTTTAAAAGGTGCACAAGATAAATCCTCAGAGTGCAGAAGGCAGCCTGAAACAGTTGAGCGGCTGGGAGCAAGGTGCTCCCCACTGCTCAGCTGTTTTTCAGGCTTTCCGCAAACCCCCCTGGAAGGGGCTTCAGTTCCTTTCAACAGGGTTTGCAGGGCCATGAACCACATGAACTGGTTCAGTTTGTGGTTCAGCCATGAACCACAAACTGAATTGCATTTTCCTGGTTTGTGCCCCATCCCTAGATATGATAGATGCTGCAAGACGTGTTTCTTCACTACCTCAATGTGTATATTTACTTTGTGTGTGTGCAACAAAATATTTTGAATCAATATGTTCATTTTTAAAAGCATCCTTCTAAATAGAACTTCTGCCTGAAATACTGAGTTATGCCTAACCTCCCTTCCTGACGTTTTGTGATTGGCTCCATTTCCTGTGGCTGCCATTTTGTGGTAGTACCAGTCACCCTGTGTCAGAATTCCAAAGGTTCCTGCAAAATCAAAAAAAGGTAGGGACCCCTGAAACAGAATGATAAAATACTCTGTAGGCTGTGAAGCTACAATGAAATGATTGACAAAGCTCGATCATGGAGAAGGGTTTCTATCTGCTTAGGTGCTAGCAGCGCTTGACTTTTAAAAGGAGAGCAGCTAGGACTCAAACCTCTCTAGACACTATGCCTTCTGGAAGCCCTTCTCTCCCAACTGAAGACATTTCAGGGGCCAGGATAGTTAGGGATACTCTGTGAAGAAGAGAATATACTCTTCACATGATCAGAAGCACCTTTTCTTTACTATTGTTTCGTATATCTCATTTTAACTAGGAACATTTTCATAATTACCCTAGCTATTTGGTGCTGTAACTGCTCGTATATGTCTTGGCACTGAAAATACATTCTGAGTCCTAGTACAAAATTCAGCTGTGGGAATAGTAAAGGATATAGCTGAAGGTACTTTTTCTTGTCTCTTGCATTTATGCCAAGCATAATCCCTCTGTGTGTTTCAATAAACAGCTTTTGTCCAAACAACAGGTGGCAACTCTAGGTATGAAGATGTAGCAAGGCCTTCTCCAGCTTTAGTAAACCCCAAGTGTGTGTGTGTGGGGGGGAACCAGGTACAGAGAGAGATTGTATCTGTCTCATAGATTTGTTTATCCCACCCTTCTTCAAGGTGCTCAGAGCTGCACACATGGTTCTCCCTTTTAACTGTACGTATTACTCAAACTTCTGTTTCTGGAACAGATTGCAACACTTGAACCTGCTTGATGTCATGTTCCACAATCTAATTGTTCTTTTAATTAGGAACATTTTCATAATAATCACCCTGTGCTGTAACTGATGTGTATCTTGTGTATGCTTAGTAGCATTTGACACTAGTTATTTCTCACGCTTATTTCACTGTAGTCTCTGTCAGAGTACTCTGAGCTTTTATGGAAATGTTGTGCTGAGGAAAACGATACTGCCATCTACTTTGAAGGAACTGAAGGTGAAGCCTCAAGTTAAGGAGACTTGATCATCAAGATTTATAGATTTTGAATTTCTCATTCTTAAACCTGGTGGTCAACCATTTTGTGGATGAGTTGTTCCAGCTCCTGGATGAAGAGGGTTATCTTGTTCAAATTCCAACATGGCTTCAAACTGAAGTTAGAGATTGATATAGTTTTGGTAAGTCTGATTGAGGACCTTCTCTAAGAGAGAGAAGTTAAAAGAATTTGTTCCTGTTGGTTTTCCTTGACCTCTCAGCCAGTTTTGAAACTATCAACTGTTAAGCATTCCTGAATAGACTACCCTTTGTAGTGTGCTTTTGATCCTACCTGGCTGAAAGATTCTAGAAGGTGGTATAGAGGGATGTTCTTGTGCACTGGAACTTCTTTAAGGGGTTCACTGTATCCCTATGCCATTCAATATCTATGTGAAACCACTAAGAGTGATTGCCCAAGGTCAAGGGATCAGTTGTCCTGTATCCTTATTATACCCAGCTCTATGTTTCCATTCATGTCAGGGGTTTTTTCAATTCTTGAAAGGTTTAACTGTCTTCAGTAATCAACTGGATGAAGGGGAATACATTAACACAATAATAACAAGGCAGAATTGCTAATAGTAGGTGGTCCCAGTACCACTGAAAGTTGGATTATGACTATGATGCATGACATAGTAACCTCCTGACTGGAGTATTGTAATGTAGTCTTTGTTGGGCTTCCTTTAAAAGAACAGTGGAAGCTTCAGTTGATACAAAAAGCAGATGCCAAAATAATTTTGGGAGCAAGCTGTGAAGAATACATAATATTAATACTGTATTCAGGTGGGTATCTGATGAAGAGTGCGTGCACATGAAAGCTTATACTCAAAATTAAACTTTGTTGGTCTTAAAGGTTCCACTGGACTAAAACTTTGTATTAATACTGTAAGATACTCATTGGATACCTGTTTGCTTCCAAGATAAATTTAAAGTCTGGATATTAACCTTTAAAATAATTTATGGTATAGGACTGTGGCTTGTATCTTCTTGCTTCTTCAGATCTAGCACAAAATATACCTTGAAGGTTCCATTATCCATCAGGTTGTATCCACTGACAAGTGAGCAGTCTGTACAAGCTTCCTACTAAGCAAAAACACAACCAGGAGCTTGATCCTTTATAGATTTCCCCTTCAGACATAGATTTCTGTATTTAGATTTTTTTTCTTATTTTTTATTTATTTTTCTTAATTGTTTTACTGTGTCTTGCCTGTTATAATGGGCAAATATTGGTGCCAATGAAATTCCATCTATTGCATGGTGGTAATATATCTGCCAGTTTTCAAGGTAATACCCACTTGCAGAGGCCCACAAATATGCATCCCAAGCCTGATGATGGGAAGATAAATGCCACTGTTCTGATGAATTCAGATGGACAGAGACTGAAGCTCCCGATGTCCTTAGAACCTGGAGATGGGAGACTCTCCACACGCTCAGGCTGTGCTACATTTTGTAGGACGTCAGCACCTGTAATGAAATACTAGGACAGGATCCAAAGTTTGCTGAGAGAAAAGTCAATGCAACTCAGTGAAGAAGAACGAGGGCGGGGTCGAGTTTGTTTATCAAGGAGTTCAACAAGTACAATGAAGCCCTGTTAAATAAATCATCTTTTAAATCAACCTTTGTTCATTCAAGTTGTAGCCGTCTTTACTGAAACAATAGCATTAGAGACTTCTGAGGGAAAGTCTGGGAGCACGTCTACCCATACAGGTAAGAATTCTCCTGATTTGGACTGTTTTCAAATATCATACTAAAAAATGTATTTGAGATTACTGATGCTAGTTGTGCCAGATATGAACAACAGCAACATCCCCATGGATTGTGCATTCATTGCGCTTTAAATACAGCATTTGCATAGACAATGGAGCATCCACACAGGAGTTTGCTTTGGAAGGTGCCATTTCCCCTGCATTCCCTGCCACCAGAGGGCTTTTTGATGGATCATTAAAATAAAATAACCCTGCTTATCCCAATTGCATTATAGTGCTGTCATAATAACCATTTTCAGCCCCATGGAAAAGGTGTCCATGAGGACAATGGCAGGACATGGTGAAATGCTGATGGGACCTTAGGTAAGCACACCTTTCCATCCAGACAATGTGCTGACAAACTTTTACTGCATTATTTACAAAACGATTGCAGTAAAACAGGTTTGAGAAACAGCACCACAGGGATGGAGAAAACCTGGCAAGTGATCAGAAGACATTGTTGTATGGAAGCTCCAAAAAACAACACTCCACTTTGGACACCGAAGTGGAAGCAGCCATTGTCAATGTGAAATCGAACACACAAGTTTTTAAAATGCGCATCCTAGCCAATGAAATCTTGATGTCTTGCACTGGAAAACAAACAATAGAATTTTTCAGCAAGTTCCTTCCATTTAATCCCACAGTGAGCAGGTTCTGGTATCATTCTAACTGCCCCATACCTAACTGCAGCTTCAGTCCTTTATTGCCTGGAATTTGGGTAGATTTCAGTGCTAGTGCATAGTTCCAAAAATAGCAAAACTTTAAATAAAAACTTCAGACTATTTTATTTGCTTCCTGGGATATGAGTCTGGATCCCTGTTTTATAATTTTCCAGTAATTCCCAGAGATATAAAACAAAGAGATTCTTGTGGCATCTTAAGGACTGAGAGCTCTATTGAGACTAAAGCCTAATTTGTCAGATACATGATGTCCTTAGTTGAGTGATAGATAAATATGTGTAGGGGGAAACTTTTAAATAGTGTGCCAGTTCACTATATGACTTTGTGTGTGTGTGTGTAAAATACCTGCTAACTGAAAGTACACTTCATAGCTCTGATTATAATTCTGTTAATCTCAAAGGGCCCACAAGACTTTATTTTTGCTGTAACAAATTAACATAGGTATCTTTCTGGACTTTGTCTCTCAGAGATTTAGGAACATTTACATTAAACTAATGTTAAGAATGGGGCCGCAGTGGCTCAGAGGTTAAGACACTGAGCTACAGACCAGAAGGTCTCTAGTTCAGCAGTTCAAGACCCTAGTGCGACGTGATGGCGTGAGCTCCCGTCTCTGGCCCTGGCTCCTGCCAACCTAGCAGTTCGAAAGCAAGAAATTGCAAGTAGATAAATAGGTACCTCTTTGGTGGGAAGGTAACAGCATTCCATGCGCTTCGGTGTTTAGTCATGCCAGCCACATGACCACAGAAACATCTTCGGACAGCACTGGTTCTTCAGCTTGGAAACAGAGGTAAGCACTGCCCCCTAGAGTCGGATTCGACTAGCTTTCGAGCAAGGGAAGCCTTTACCTTAATGTTAAGAATCTTAGGGAAAGTATGTTGTTGAAGGCTTTCATGGACTTCATTAGTTATTGTAGATTTTCCAGGCTGTATGGCCGTAGTCTTGGCATTGTAGTACCTGACGTTTCGCCAGCAGCTGTGACTGGCATCCTCAGAGGTACAACACAGAAAGATGGGGTACTCTCTGTGTCAATGTGAGAAGAAAAATGGTAGGCAGGTAATTTATATCTACTCAGGAAGGTGGGGTAGGGCTGAGTCATTATCTTGTAGGACTCAGCCCTACCCCACCTTCCTGAGTAGATATAAATTACCTGCCTACCCCATCTTTCTGTGTTATACCTCTGAGGATATGTGTCATACCTGACTGGATGCCAGTCACAGCTGCTGGTGAAATGTCAGGTACTACAATGCCAAGACCATGGCCATATAGCCCGGAAAATCTACAACAACTTAGGGAAAGTATCTGACAACACAAATTGAGATGGTCTTCCATCTGATTACAGCCTTGCTCACAGTTACACAAACAGCATTGCAACTCTATTTATTAAAATTGTACCCTTATTTCAGTGGAGATTACCAAAGGTACTAGGATAGAGCTAGCAAGTAATCGTGATTACAGCTCTGGCTATTCATTTTACTAAAAACTATTGGTGGTATTAGCCGTAGCTTTTTAGAAAATAATGTGAAGAAATTCTTAAAACTAGAGAATTAGCAGCATCAATTCCCCAGCACACTTTTAAGCCAGAGTCAGATATGATAGAATCATAGGTGGAAGTGAGCTGAGTGCCACCTAGGTAGTACAATCTCCTGACTTAAGTAGGATCTCCACTTATTAACCATCACCTCTTTACATATTAACTATGTCATCAAGATTATGAGGTATGCCATGTGAAGTAGGAGCGAGCAAAGTGCAGAATAACCACAAGACGCTGGAATTTCAATATAATTGCTGACATGCTGTGCTTCTCTTGAAGTGTGAACCACAATGTTGCTTCGATCCACATGTCAAGCATTATTTCTTGTCTTCATCTAACTCTTCCTGAGAGTCGTCTGGCTGGCACAGAAAAGTGGGGAAAAGGGCATCCCTTACTTTACACTCAGTGTTAGACAGAAGGAAAAGAAGCACACAAGACTTACACTGCTTTTGTGTTACTTCCGATTTCAGTGTTGTCCTCATCTGTTTGAGGAAAACTCAGGAGATGGGAAGAAATGTTTATGTTTATAGTCAGAAATGGGAAATTGCTAGGGAGAGAGGAAGCATTGCCTTTGGTGACCAAGGGATGGATTTTACAGTAGAATGAATGGAAAGCACTCATGAAGGTGGATCTTTTCCTGCCTTCCATGTCCCACAGCAGCCCTCCATGGGCTGTGTAAAGGCATTATATGAGACCATAAAAAGAGCTCTATTGGATTATACCTGTGTGGTCTATCTAGTCCAGCATCCTGACTCACAGAGTGGCCACCCAGTTGCCCTTAAGGTCAAACATACAGGGCAAATAGTGAATTAACAACAAACCAAGACCTTCCAAACCTGCCTCTGAGGACTAGTCTTCAGATATTTGCTTTACAAACCACCCTGGTTTTCATCATCCGGAATAACTTTATATCATTTGCAAACTTGGACACTACACTGCTCACCCCCAATTCCAAATCATTTAGGAACAAATTAAATGGCATATGTTTTTAGGATATCCTATTATCAGGATAGAGTTTATTATGGGCATTAAAGTAATTAATATCTTCCTACAAAGTGTTGAAAACACCATTGTCTATTACAAAAATAAGTGGAACAGTTGACAGTGTATGCCTGAAGGATCATGTACATAGAAAGCATAATGGGGAAAATTCAATTTTTCTAACAAGGCAGAGTTAAATTGTGGCCTTCGCAAATATTATTTCTGTGTGGAGGGTTTAGATCAAACATGCTTCAACTGCATTAGAGCTTGTGTACTGATGAACTCTCCAAATTTTGATTGACAGTTTAAAATTTTTGAAATACCCTGCAGATATTGAGATACAACAATGTGTAAGGGGGAGGAATCAGTATTTTTGGTGGGCTGTCTTGACAATGCTGTCAATGGATCTTTCCTTCCAGACCATACTACAGCCAAGTCATTCCTCTTTTAGGGTTTTGTGAGCCTTGCACTTTGATGGAAGATTTCAACTTAAAGGTAGTTTATGACTAACTGGTGAAAGTCAACTGATACTTGTTTGTGCTGTAAAAGTAGACAGAGTAAAGGGTGAGTTCCCATGTGCCACACTTCAGAAAGGAAAGGTGTTTTGTTTTTTTCCTCAAGAGGTGCACTGGTATGCTGCCATGTGATTTATGTATAACTAGGAAAAAGGCCCATTGTGGAAATAAATACAACGGCCTCTAGAAAGAGGCTCTGGGCGGGTGCCCCGGCCTTGGACACTCAGTGTCAATTTGCTGTGGCAACCTCAGCAGGGTATAATGACACTGAGTCCACTATTTTCTCCAGAGGAACTGATCTCTGCTACCTAAAGAACAGTTGTAATTTTGAGTGATCTCCAGCCCTCACCTGGAGATTGGCAACAATGGTTCTCCAGAAGGAAATAGTTGGTTTGGAGGGTGGAGTCTATGGCTTTGTACCTGTCTAAAGTCCCATGCCTCCTGAAACCTCACCCTCTCCAGGCTCCATCCCTCACATCTCCAGGAATTTCCCACCTGGAGTTGGCAACCCTATCTCCTTACCAGCCAATCATCAACCTACATTTATTTCCACCTCACTCTTCAGCTTTCCACCGCCAATCAAGTCGCATATGCAAACGACCTCTGTGTTCCGAGGCAGAGGCCAATGAGGCTGCATATGCAAATAACCTCTGTGTTCTGACTTGCTATGGGGGGGAGAGGATTAGCAAAATGTTTAGAATGTTGGAGGCAGGACTCAGGCAAAGCAGCCAGTGGATAGGGAGACCCTCTGAATGACATATCAGAGAGCGAACTGATTTTGGAGCGTGTAGAATGTTCTAGAGAAGTGCCACCACCATTCAGCTTTTATTTATAAAGGAGATTTCCAAATTGCAGCTACCCAGAAAAAAATTGCTGAAGTGCATCAGCTGATCAAGTTGTATATTTGTCCCTTCAAAAAAAAACCTCAGAGAAAGAAATTCATCCTAGTTAATCAGTACCTTCTCCTTTGTCCCCAAAGTGTACTTTATCATCAGCATTCTCATAAACATTTGTTAGCTACATTTCCTGATTTTGAGGTTTCTCAGATCTTCTCTCAGTCCATTTTTTTGTTTCTCAGTCCTATGCACTGCACAAGGTCTCATCCATGTTATTCTGAATGCCAAAGACTACTAGAAAACTTTCTCTTTGGAAGAGGGAATCATAAAAGAAAATACACCATGAGAATGAACCACAGAGGAAACATTTTTGATAGTGAGAAATCATTTTTCTAATTTATGTAATCATTGCAGAGTATGGATATACCTTATCTACTTGCTAAGAATGGCCTGGAAGAAGTGTCTTTTACAACTGTCTATTTATTTATATCCCACCCTCCCCCGCAAGCGGGCTCAGAGTGGGTCACAACAAGTCATTTCACAGAAAAACAATATTAAAATATACAATTTAAATCCAGTTTAAAACCAATTCGGAATAAGATGGCACGATGGTTTGTAGTAGTCCAGAGAGCCTCCTGCACGGGTTAATAAGGCATCCAATTCGCCAGAAGATGCTGTGCAGATCTCTTTAGCATCGTAGGGACATTAAATAGGGCAGTATGAGCGGGGGGGGGGCGAGATCATTAGACATCCACTGCCTCAGCCGACAGCCTGGCAGAACAGCAGGCCCTGTGGAATTGTAATAGGTTCCTGATCTCAAGTGGGAGCATTTCACCAGGCCAGGCCAGAGAATGCCCTGGCCCTGTTCGAGGCTAAGCAGACATCTTTTGGGCCAGGGACTACTGGAAGGTGTTGATCTGCAAAGCGCAAGGCTGTCCAGGGCATATATGGGGAGAGACAGTCCCATTGGTATGTTGCTCCCTGGCCACATAGGGCTTTAAAGGTTAATACCAAACCTTGAAGCGGATCCAGTAGTCAGTTGGCAGCCAGTGCAATTAGTGCAGCACTGGCTGAATAAGCGCCCGCACAGACATCGCAGTCAGCAGGCCTGCCACCGCATTTTTCACTAGCTGCAGTTTCCAGGTCAGATTCAAGGGCATCTCCACATAGAGCGAGCTACAGTGAACCAGCCTGAAAGTGACCATTGCACGGGTCACTGTAGCTAAATCCTGGGAGGAGAGAGAGGGAATCAGTTGCCTGACCGGCCAAAGATGGTAAAAGGCTGATCTGGCAAAGTTGTTGACCTGGGCCTCCATGGAAAGTGAGGCATCCAGAATCACTCCTAGGCTTTTCACCCTCAGTGCTGGTGTCAACAGCGCCCCACCCAGGGTTGGGAGCCAGATTCCTAATTTCCCCCCCCCCAATCAGTTACAGGACCTCTGTCTTCACTGGATTTAATTTCAGCCCATTCTGCTGTAACCATCCAGCCAACACCTCCAGCTCCCTGTCCACAGTATCTGGGGTGAAGTCCAGCCAGCTGTCCATCAACAGATAAAGCTGGGTGTCATCAACATACTGGTGACAACCCAGCCCATGTTCCTGGACCAGCTAGGCCAGGAGGCACATAAAGATGTTAAGCAACATAGGTGAAAGGATCGCCCCCTGTGTCACACCACATTACAGTGGGTACCGCAGAGAGATCCTCTCCCCAAGTGCCACCTTCTGTCCCCAACCATGGAGAAAGGAAGAAAGCCATAGTAAGGCAGTCCCACGTGTCGGCGAGGTGGTGGGTCAGAAGATCATAATTGACCAAGTTGAACACTGCCATATTGTCAAGTAGCCACAGCGGCACCAACCCGCCTCGATCCAGGTGTCTCTGCAGGTCATCTGTGAGGGTGACCAGCGCCATCTCCACCCCATGGCCAGGGTGGAAGCCAGACTGGAATGGATCCAGGATGGAGGCATCATCCAAGAAAACCTGGAGCTGCTCAGCCACTGCTGAGAATACCCGGAATTCCACAACAACAAAATACAAGTGTGGCAATGAAGAAATGAATGTTAGCCATTTTAATAAAACTTCCTTCTGCGTGAGTTAGAACCAAACCCAAGCTCATTCTTTAGACATGTCTAATTCCTTGTTAATATCTTTCATTTCACACACAGATTTTTTTTCCATTTTCTATTTTCTTCCTCTCTTGTGTTTGAGGATCTGGAAGCTCGTGCTGCTCCTAAATAGTTTGCCTCAGCTAGGCCCTCTTTCTATATAAGCATTTTTTGACAGCTGCATCTCTTCTCTCTCCCTTCCCAGAAATGACATCTCCTCTTTGTCCCAGGGAATGCAAACTGACCAGAAAAGATAAAGAGAGCTATGGATTTTGTCTGCGCCTTGAGAAACACAAAACCGGTCACCTAATTAGAAATGTGATACAAGGCAGCCCGGCTGAAAAGGCTGGTCTGAAAGATGGAGACAGAGTCCTGAGGGTCAATGGGGTATTTGTAGACAAGGAAGACCATGGACAGGTATGAACACCATTTAGCTTAAGGTACTTCTCTCTCTGCCAAATATGTTTTCCTGTATTACAGTCTGATCCTAAGCAGAGTTTGGTTGTATTAAACCATTTACATTTGCAAATATTCCCAGGTGGCTTACATAACCTTAAAATCATAATAAAATGAAGAAATGCCCCATGATCACCACAACCATTCAAAGCAACAGCAGTAGAAGAATCCAGCAATTACCTAGCCAAAAGCTTCCAGTAATTCTTAATGCCTGAAGAGTTTCAGTGGTAGCTGCTTAAAACCAGGAGTGTTATCATTCCACAGTCCTGAGGGCATTACTAAATAGACCTATCCATTTATCTTGTCCTTCCTACAAGGAAGGAACTCAGGGAGGCCTCCTCCATATCCTCACATACTAGCTACCTTGAGGCTGGAACAATGTAACTGGCCAAGTCTGGTGTAGTGGTTAGGAGCACGGGCTCTAATTCGGGAGAACTGGGTTTGAGGCCCCACTCCTCCACATGCAGCTGCTGGTAAGACCTTGGGTCAGTTACAGCTGTTCTCTCAAGAGCAGTTCTCGAAATAGCTCTCTCAGCCCCACCTACCTCACAGGGTGTCTGTTGTGGGGAAGGGAAGGGAGATTGTAAGCCTTTGGGTAGTAAAGGGCAGGGTATAAATCAAATCTCCTATTCTTCCTCTCAAAGTCACTAAGATTGTAGTCTGTTAGAGTAAAGATCATAGAATCAAAAGCCTCTGCTCCTACCCCTAAGGCATCCTTGAATCTCATATTGGTGGAATGTGGAGGGTAGCTTTTTCATCTTGAGAATGATCTGAACTGATGGGCAGGCTTATAGAAAGAAAAGCACTCTCTAAAGCGCATCCACCCCACTGAGGTCAGTGACTTATACTCCCATGTAACACACAAAGGACTGTGGCCTTGAGCAGTCTATACAACCTGTTACCCTACTGCTCCTGGTAGAGAAGTGACTGTTAAACCAGTTTGTGTTTGTGGTATATATCTACTACAATGGACTTTCTCTGCAATGATGTTACACAAGTCCCCTTTTCAATAAATGTAAAGTTGAAGAACTAGAGCTATAATCAGCTTGGATCCTACCCATGATGCAGGACTTCTCTGCCTCCTGCTGCCGCAACTCCAAATCCCTCCCATGCTGGGGGTGGGGGGGGTGGGACGATGACCATAACTAACCATTCTTCTTGTGAGTTGTAAAATAGAAAAATTAAATGAGACATTTTCTTGCTCCTTGATCTTGCCACTTAACCACATATTCCATCCATTACAGGTAGCTGATTTAGTTAGGAAAAATAAGAATTCTGTGATATTCCTTGTCTTGGATGAAAAATCTTATGAAAAAGCACAAAAAGAAGGAACTGCATTGGAAAAACTGGGTCAGAAGTCAGAGACACAGCATCCGCTAGAATATCCCCCACCTGCAACGAACAGTGAGCCTGTTCCAGTTCCACAACCCCGGCTCTGCTATCTGACAAAGGATGGGGAAAATAGCTATGGTTTTTCCTTGAAAACCACTGCAGGTGAGAACAATGAGGACAGTCAAATAGTACAGTTTAGAGTATCTGAACTGTGCTTCAGTTTATTGGCCCTTATACCCCCCCCGCCCCCACTATGCACATTCTAGACTTCAGAATCAATATGCTTGTTCGGCTCATTTTCATCATCTGTCTTCTAAATTGCTTACTCAAAGTTATTATATTTTCTAAGCTTTATAGCTGACTTACAGCTATATTGACTTCAATGGACACAAAAGGGTATAGCTCTATTTAGGACTGCACTGTGAATTACACTTCCTGTGTACCCTGGTAGGGATACCTTTAACAGCACACCTGAGATTCTGTCTTGGACTCTTCTGAATGTGTCTTAATGACACATGAAACAAACTAGCTGGTTTTGTTAGCAAAAAGATTGATGAAATTGCCAGTGCTATCTCTAGTTTTTATATATTACACGACATTTCTTTACCTAACTTCTGAATGACTGTGTATACACTGTACAGGAAAGACTCTTTCCTTTGAATATAGAAAACACCTTTGGAAGCATGCTAACAAACCAAATTCTAATCAAAACTTTGGAAGAACAAGTACTGTTTAATAACAATTATTTATTTATTTATTTTAAGTACCCGAGGGTACACATTTATTGTTTTGTTATATTCCTAAACACAGACATAAACAACTACAACAAACAACATATCACCAAGAGACTAATTACATTTTGTTACTATACCTAATCCATCGCTTCATTATTCTCTAATATTTGTTAATATTCTCTAATTCCACTATTATATATTACTACATACTCAAATATTATTTTTGCCATATCAGCTTAATCTTTGACTCCAGTCACATTATACCAACCATATAGTCTCTTCCAGGTTTTTTGAAATGTCCATTTCTTCGGGCCTCTCATTTCCATAGTTAATTTGTCTATTTTCACCGCTTCTAAGAGTTTATTAATATATTTATTAATATATTTATTAATATATGGTTGGTGTTTTTTGAATCTTCCAATATTTGGCATATAATATCCTTGCCGCCGTTGACATGCATACAATCAGGTATCTATCAGTTGCCTCGAATTCTTTCGGAAAAATATTTAACAATAGCAGCATTTATCTGAACAATTGCCACTTTGCTTTGGTAACCTATCTGGAGTAACATACCATCTGTAAAACATCTTATACATATTTTCTTTATAGGCCACAGTGTTAGTCATTTTAACATTTTTCATCCATATTTGCTCCCAATCTTCTAAATTCACAATATGACCTAAATTCTGAATCCATGCAATCATATTTTTCTTAATAATCTCATCTATCATTACATCCTGCAATAAGATCTTATAAATTTTCTTTATCATTTTTTCTCCTGTATACAATAAAACATTTTCTAATTCTGTTATTTTATTATTAAATCCCAATTTCTTATCTTTAAGGTATATTGACTCCAGTTGTGCCGTCTGCCACCAAGTTAAATGTTCTGGCAGTTTAAGATTATCTTTTTTATCCAATATGTCCTGGTATCTTAGTGAGTCTTCTTCTGCATACACCGTAGGCAGAGTGAATGCTTCCAGAGGCATAACCAATCTTGATCTTTTTACATAAAAGTTCTTATGTATTGAGTCCCATACTTTGCATAGTGAAGCCCTCAGCCAGTGTTGCCTGAAATATTTATGAGAAGTAGTCTTTTCGTACCACAAAAATGCATTCCAACCCATCAGTAGATCATGTCCCTCTAATTTTAGTAGTCTTTTATCTTCCAAAGTGATCCATTCTTTAATCCAGGTCAATGCCGCAGCTCTATAGTATAACATCCAGTTCGGGACTGGAATTTGGGGAACTGGTGGGTTTCAAGATAAATACGGATAAGACTAAAATAATAGTAAAGAATATGGATGAAAGAGTAAAGCAAAAATTGCAGGAAATTACTGAATGCCAGATAGTTAAGAAAACGAAATACCTGGGAATAACAGTGACTAACAAATGCAGCTCATTGTATGAAGATAATTATAGAGAATTATTTCAAAAAATTAAACAAGATTTGGAAAAATTGAAAGACTTAAAACTATCAATAATGGGAAGAATGGCTATTATAAAAATGAATATTTTACCCAGGTGGATGTTTTTATTCCAAAATATACCTATTTTACGAAACCAAGAATTTTTAAAGAGCTGGATAAAATTACAACAAAGTTTAACTGGCAAGGGAAGAAAGCACGTATAAGATTAAAGATGTTACAAGAGGCAAAGGAAAGAGGAGGCTTTATTTATTTTATTAGTATTTTTACCCCGCCCTCCCCGCGAGCGGACTCAGGGCGGCTTACAAGAGGGCAACAATACCCACATATAAAACAAGATTAAAACAACTTAAAACAAAAATAAAATCATCAAATCACAAAAGTAAAAGTATTCTTTTATTTTATTCTTGCTGCTACTGACCAGCCACTAGCATAAACGTCTGTAAACATCTCCTTGTGCAGTATCAGAAAAAGGTATAAAGTGTGGTCTATGAGGGATAAAAAGCTTTCAAGTTCATGAGGCACAGAAAAAGCATGTTGCTGCTGCTGAAGCTCAAGTCACACATCTGTAGCTGTTACAACTGATCTCTGAAAAACTAAGTGTAAAGTCTACTGGGCAAGTATTACTGCCTCACCTCCAGGCCCCACAGAACCTAGTTAACAAGGGAAGAGGTGTTTCGGTTTCCATCCGTTTTCTTCTTTATTCCAGGTCAAAAGGGATTGTTCATTATTGACATATCCCCACAAGGGCCAGCTGCAAAAGCTGGAGTGCAGCCCAATGACCGCCTGATTGAAGTCAATGGAGAGAATGTGGAAAATGACACTCATGAGGAAGTGGTTGAGAAGGTACTTGTCAGCCCAAACATCTCATCTTTCCCTCTTTCAGTTTGTTTCACTGAATGTTCTAAGAGTGCATTGGTCACTAAGGGTGGAATGATTGATGGCCCTCTACTTGTCCCTACTCTTCTCCCTTTTGCAAGGTTGTGCTGTTGAATAATCACCCATGTTCATCCAGAAGAATGGGTATTAGAGTCCTCCCAATACCCAGATCCAGAATAAGGGCAGGTCATGTGTGAATACTGTTAACATGGGATAGAAGGCGCCACATTCATCAAATGTATATAGTAGGCCTTGGCAATGCAGATTTCACCTCCTTATTACAGGCCAATTTAACTTTCAATACCGATTAGTTTAAGTCTTTAAAACGACAGATGGGACATGTGTTGTACAAAACAGATATTCTAAACACCCTTATGAGCTCTGGAACTTTGCAAATAAAATGCTCTCTGGTTCTTTCACTCTACAAGGACTCACAGAAGTAGTCTGTCTGTATTTCCAGGTGAGAAGATCTGGAAACCAAGTTGTATTTCTGTTGTCAAATAAAGAAACAGACTGGTATTACAACAGACAGAATATGCCACTGAAGAGAGAAATGGCCAGTCTGGAATTTTTACCACACAAACCTCGGACCATTGAGCTCAAAAAAGGAAATAATGGCTATGGATTCTGTCTGAGAATGGAACAGAATTGTAAAGGTAAGAACCAGACCACCAGGTCACACTCTACTGCTTTGGCCTTCTGGTTTGCAGCATCAGTAGTACACTCCCAGCCTTCTATGCATCAGTGGGCACGATCTACCAAGCAGCCAAAATGCATGGAAGCAGTATAAGACTATTTTTCTCTCAAAATGGCCTGCTTTACTACTAGAGAAGGCCGAAAACACTCTAAAGACTGAGGCAAAAAATCTTAACGGCACCCTAAGCCTCTAGAGTCATCAAAATATAATATTACTGACATTTTTCTGCTCTTGAACGGTACTGTACAATCTGCCACCCAAGATGGGCCTCCTCACGCTGCCTGATGGCAGTGCAAGACCTGCTTACTATTTTATGAAAGGCCAGCATGCCAGTCATGATTTGATTTTAATCAAATCTGAGGGGAAACTGTTCCTTCTCCATCCTCTAGAATCCTAGCTCCCAGCAACTCAATGACACAAGTTCAGAAGTCTGTTGGAAACAGGGTCAGGCAAGGGTACATTTTGTTAATGTTTTGATACTGCTCTTTTAGAAGTGTTCCAAAAGATTACTCTATAACTAAGTGCGTAAGTATTGCATTTTCTCCTAAACCCTTTAAAAATTAAGTAAAACAATCGGTTTAATTCCTCATCCTTTCCCTCCCATCCACCTCCCCAAAAGCAGCAGAGCTGGCTATAAACATAAGAGTTGCAGCTAGACCAGATTTGTCCAAACATTGGGAAGATAACAAATAGCTTTCAGGGATGGGTGTATAAAGTTTGGGAGATGACATTGATTTTATCTAAGTTGATACATTATCTAAAACCCAGAGAAAGGTGAATGAACAAAGAATTTTTGCACAAAATTGGTCTCCACTTATGCAGTATTGGAACTTGAGCTATAACGCAACTTGTTAATGCTGTAGATGTTTAGCTCGTATGATTTTTTTTTTTAATTGAAAGATTCACGAATAAAAGGACTAGACACATTTACGGATGATAAAGTCTAGCAACAGATGTAAGACACAGTTAAATGGAACATTCATGATCAGAGACATTGTAACAGAAAACAGGAGACAGCTGTTGAGTTCATGCCCAAGTTTTTCACTTTTCAGAAATATCTGGCTAAGCACTGTCATCCCATTCTTGCCAACCCAGGGATCAAGAATGATTTCCCCCCCAAGAGCACTAAAGTGTGCCTAATAGGTAGGATTTAGATCTGAATTCAAATACAGTTCTCACTTTCCCTAGAAAACAGTTGTTCTGGTTTGGGAGTAGAAAGTTCATTGTTTGCTTATTGTATTATTTTAATGAATATGTAAGCCACCTAAAAATGTTGAGCATACAAGATAAAAATATTTAAATAAATATAATTCATTTTGATGCTATCCAATTAGAGCTCAGTCACAATGAGTCACATTTACCAATGTTCAATTAGCCTCCCTAGCAAGTCCACAAAACTGGGCATATCTGTTGTGAATGGTCACTGTGCTCATATGTACCTTACATTTCTTAGCGTTGTGATGTCACCATGCAACATACACATACTTGTCCAGAAACATGCAGTGTGCCCTAAATGAGATGATACATATAAAATTGGCCAACCGAAGGGACACTTTTTTAAAATAAGCAAAATAAAAATAAGCAAAACAATGGGTTTAATTCCTTGTTCCACCTCCCACAAAGAAGCAGACCAGGTTGTAATAGTTACAGGTAGACCAGTTTTGTCCAAACATTAGAAGAAGCTGTGGCCACTAGCCAACAAAAGCTTAGTCCATAGTAGGCCGGTTAACTGAGGTGTCACAGGACTTTTTTAAAAAAACATGTCTGCTAAGCTTGGCAGGTCAAGTATCCAGTTGTTTGCGGTCTGTATTGTTAATGAGTTAAAGTATATAAAGAAAATTGAAATTGCACCAGGCAGACATAAAACAGGCCATGCAAAATAAGTAACTACCAGCAGGACACCTGCAAGGCTTTGTGGGGGAGGGGGAAATCTCATTTCCCATTCCTCCTCTAGTTCCGCCTTCTCTTCCCTGAATGCCTGCATAGCCTTTCCTCTCTGCCTGCTTTCTTCTTCTCTTTCCACCTACCAGCCAACTTACCTTTATCTACCCTATATCCAGGGGTCATTTCGTAGAAAAAGAGGTGCAGGAGCTCATTAGCATAACTTATTAGCATAACTTATTTGCATATGCCACAACCCCTGACACCACTGGAAGTGTGTCAGAAGAAAACACCCATTGCTCAGGCTCCACTGGACTATTTTGGATTGCTAGCTATGGGGGACACACACGCAGATCTGCCCTTGCAGAGGAGGAAGAGCTTGTACCTGAATAAACCTTGGCCTTAAAGGCGCCACTGGACTGTTTCGGATTGCTAGCTGGGGGGACATGCAAATCTGCCCTCACAGAGGAGGGAGAGGGTTTTTTTATTGCTATCTATAGGGGGGGTGCACAGATCTAGGAAGGAAGGAAGGAAGGAAGGAAGGAAGGAAGGAAGGAAGGAAGGAAAGAAAGAAAGAGGGCAAACAGATAGGAAGGGAGGGAGGCTCTCCCACCCCCCGATCAAGCCCCCACCACCCCCCATGGCTCCATCACTCCAGATCAAGGCCCCGACACCTCCCATGGCCAGCCCCCAATCAAGCCCCCATCTCCACCGCCACTCCACACCAGCCAGGTGCTGGGAAAGGCGGGTGGGCTCTGGAGGCCTTCCCCGGGCTCTGTGCCTTGGCTGCTTCTTGCTCCTTGTGGCCCAGGGCTGCTGGGAGCAGGGCACAGGACTTGTTGCATGTGCCCGCCCCCTGGGCTCTTTACTGCTGGAGCTCCGCTCCTGTGCGCTCCTGCAGTAAATGACCCCTGCCTATATCCAACTTTCCCTCCTTCCACCCAGCAACCTGTCTGGGAAAACAATAAACCAGTCGGGCAGTGCCAGCTGTCGGGCTGGGTCCAGCTGGGCAGTGGGGAACCTGGAAGACCTTGTGGGGGGTACCTCATTTTCCCCTGTAGCCTCCTGCCCACTCTATTTCCTCTCTCCATTCTTCTGGCAAACCCTATATCCTCATGTTTCCTTGCTTCCTTCTCTCCTTCTCAGCCACCTTTTATCTGTCTCTCATCTTCATCTCTGGCCCCTGCCACACGGCAGGGAAAACACGGGCCGAAGCGCGGCTTTTAAAAGCCGAGCCAAAAAAGAAATGCCGCGGCAGGATCCCACGGATCCCCTGGCCGCGGTGCCTTATCTCCCCGGCACGATCAGATGCCAGGAAGAAAACACAGTTCCGACGGGGAGGCTGCTGAACTGCGCATATTGGAGCATGCGCAGTTCGGGTGGGGGCCGGGGATGCGCCGGTACGAAAACGCGCCAGCGATCCGACGGCCCGGTTGAGGCGCCTCATCCAGATGAACCACCTCGGTAGGTGGTTCCCAGTTGATGCGGAGTTTCGAGAGGAAGGGCCGGATCGGGGGCGGAAGCACTACACTGGGTCTCCCAGATCCACGACTTAAACTCTAATCACCACACTACATCAAAGTCACTGCCAGTGAAGAGTAAGAAGCAGCCAGTCCACAGTGAATCATACAAGTCACATGGTAGCAAGTCACCCAGCAGTTGCTGCTGGACCTGGCCCCAATGAATCCTTCCTTAAAGGCCAAAACAGCCCTGGAAAAGGTCCACCCCCCATTTACTGACAGAAAGCATGGCTTGAAGACTGACAATACTGTTGTGGTTGCCTAGCAATGTCCCCTTAGGGCATTCATTTCATAAAAGTTACAAGTGCTACTCCTATTTATTGGAGGTAAAGGTTAACCCTCAATGTATTTTTTCCCCTGCAACCTGGAGTGGTTTTCAGGTTTGTAGAAAGATCTGTCTTGCCTGTTCATGGCTTTAGTCCTCAGATCTAAGTATCCACAGATATGACTATGTTGAGAATTAGATATACTGATGCCCATTTCTATCATTAGTGAAATGTATACCAGTCACAAAATTACGCTGTTCCTCAGGCAGAATTCTCATTAAATCAAGATCATCTCAAAATAATAAAACCACCAGTGAAATACTTAGAGCAGTATTGTTATTGGGTTTTTCTTCTTTCTGAGGACAGGTCACTTAATTAAGGACATTGATTCTGGTAGTCCAGCAGCTAAAGCAGGTCTCAAGGAAAATGATGTTCTTGTGGCTGTAAATGGAGAGCTGGTTGAGAGACTGGACCACAACTCTGTGGTAGACAAGATCAAGGAATCGGGTGAAAAAACTACACTGCTAGTGATGGATGAAGAGACTGACACCATGTACAAAATGGTAACAAAAACAGCTGAAATGCAAAAAGAATAATTTGGAAAATCAAGTAATGAGCGCATTGAGTTAGCATTCTGAAAATGCCACCTTTCACTTTGTAATAAGCAAATTTCTAACCCTTAGATCTGCGCTGGTTAGCTTGTGAGGGTGTACATAATGAGTTTTTCCTGTTAACATTACCTCATTTTTCACTGTTTAATTTTTGTGCCACTTGCTCACAAATGGCACATAACATAAAATGATTTACAAATGGCATAAAAGAACCAACAAATAAGGAACACCAAGAACAAAATTGGGTGGAACAAAAAGGTTCACATAAACATATGAAAACAAAAGAAATGGGAACATATTTGTAAATCTCTAAGGAGGATGTGATGGTCACAGAACCATAGCTTTAAACATGTCTGATTTCTAAAACAGGTAGAGAAAATGGGGGAGGGTCTGAATTAATGACTAGGAGGGGAATACTGAAGACTTCCTCCATTTACCATTCCCCCACACACACACACACACACAATCTTAGCAGAATGATTTCTGGTCTCTAATGAGAGGTAGAAGATAAACAGCGGCAGGGTGAGCAGTAGTTGAAGAATTCAGCACCACCACTTCTTTGGTCCACTTCTTTGGTGACTATGACCAACCCAATACCCCACTTGAGTTGTGCAGCACAACCTATGTTTCATGTTTATGCTCAGACAACATTTCACACTAAAATACGTCTTTTCCTAAGCATAAATTACACATTAAGTGGAAGATTCAAGATCAGAACTACCAACCCTTTAAGTAGCATTGGGGGGGGGGAGAGAAGATGGAGCCATGACACTGGGGGAGGAAGAGAATTCTTACCCTCTCTACCTCATATGGTTTCCCAATAGAGATCATATTCCAGACCTGCTGTTGTTCCTCCAACCACAGCTACTAGAAATTACTCTTTTAGAAACAGTGCACGCAGAAGTTACCCCCCTTCTTCCCCACTGCTGTGGCTCTATCCAAATCAGGGGTCTCCGTAACTGTTTTTTTAAAAAATATATATTAAACTGTAAAAAGAACCAATCACTGGTCTCTCAAATAATTAGCAGTTTGGCATTTAGGAACATCACAGTGTCATGCCTACAGGCTCACAAGTTAGTGAAGTACAAATGTTACAAGCATGGACGGCTTCAAAAGGGAATTAGATAAGCATATGAAGCAGAGGTCCATCAGTGGCTATTAGCCACAAGGTATAGATAGGGACTCTGGGGCAAGTGATGCTCTGTCATCTTGGTGCTTGGGGGGGTCAACAGTGGGAGGGCTTCTAATGTCCTGGCCCCACTGGTGGACCTCCTGATGGCACTGGTATTTCTGGCCACTGTGTGATACAGAGTGTTGGACTCGATGGGCCTTTGGCCTGATCCAACATTGGCATCTCTTATGTTCTTATGCTTGAACTAAGAAAAGAAAGAAAACAGGAACCCTAGATAAATAGCAATAAGATTCTAGAAGTCATCCTTCAAGAGCTGGTGGATGAGAACTTAATCAAGACCAGTTATTCTACTCTGCAGTGTATTCCTGCATGGTTTTCAGAGCCCGTTCATGTTTGTTTGTGAAAGAGAGAGGAAATGGTCTGTGCTTCCGAGAGAAACCACAGGCTGTATAGCTGATACATCTGCAATATTGGCTGTCGCTGTACCCTACCACATGCATTGAGGTTTTTGTCATGATGTTTGAAAGTGCAGAAAGTTCACTGCTAGTCAGAGTTATCTTTGCTTTTTGTTCCTCAGGCTCAAATTTCTCCATGTCACAAAGCAACGGTGCCATCTCTAAGTGAAGCAGAAGTGTTGACACACCATATTGAACAGGAGAACCACCAGCCCAGACTCTGCAACCTAGTCAAGGGTCCCAATGGATTTGGTTTTCATCTGAACGCTGTCAAGGATTTGCCTGGCCAGTTAATCAAGCAGGTATTAAGCTAGAATCCATACACACAAGGGGCCAGGGTGGAGAGGTGTGACGGAAACTGGACAAAAAAATATATGAAGATGAGAAACAACTGGGCTACCCTTTTGATCCCTTTCTACGGTGAATATATGTAAAATCCAAGTATACAAAATATGGCACAAGTTCATACCATACCTTTTTGCTCAGATAATCTGAGCAGGGCTGCTGCCGAATATGGTTCCAAAAGTGACAGCTTTAGCCAAGCCTGCTTTGTTCTTCTCACTGAATTTGCCATAATGAGAATCCTGGAAGCATTCTTTTGTGTTTTCTGTACCATAGCCTCTATATATCCTTGGGATACCATTACTCAATAGTATAAAACTGCAAGGTTGAGCAGTGTCCCATGACCTTCTCAAGATACTGTTTTTTTCAATCAATGGCCATTTAAAAATGTGAATGTTCACATTGACTTCGTTAGCTTTATGCAGTTTTAAGCCAACTCTTAAGAAACAAATGTACATGCAAAAAATAATAACAAAGAAAAGCCTATCCAGGAACAAACAAAATCAAACTGGAAAATTAAGGACATGGTGACATGCAAAAGCCCACATAATGGGCTGAATATATTGCTACAATTATCCAGTGAGTTTTAACATCTCTAGCACTAGGGCAGTCTATATACCTGTGTGCATACGCACATAACAGTAAGATGTTGGCTGTACTACCTCACTGTATCTATCATGTTTTCATCACACCCTTCCTCCAAAGAGCTCAGGTGATCCCCTCCCTTTCTCAATTTCATGAAGTAGGAAAGGCTGAAAGCAAGAATGACTTGCCCAAAGTCTTAGTCTGACACAACTACATCACACCAGTTCTTACTGAGGAGCTTAATGCACAACACAGTGTCACTGTCTTGGGAAGCAACTGTATCTACTGAAGACATCACAGCTTCAGAAAGTGAAGTGCCTTATACAAAGTCTAGCTAATGTTGATAAACAATTCCACTCAAAGATACTGTTCTGCTAATAGCGAAGCTATCTGGCTGGTCCAAGGAACTTTGATTCAGTGGAAGAGGCAGATCCCACCTGCAGGAGATGGGGCCTTTCTCCTCATGTCAGAGAAAGACCCCATTGTTATCAGAACAGAACCGTAAATTTCAGTATCTCATCTCTCAGCCACGCATCTTGCATTTGGATGGGAAAATTCAGAATTACATGCAAACTGTCACAATGGGTAACCCTGCCATAAAACCGCATGTATGTCATTTGTGCCATTACAAGAGCTGCACTATAAAAACATTTTAAATATGGGTATCATATCATAAGATCTACCCCATCTTGCACTGACACTTTGTTGTTGTATTATATAGTTTTACTGTTTTAGACTGTTTTATCTGTTTTAATTCTGACACTTGTGCCTCGTTGTTAGCCGCCCTGAGCCTTCGGGAAAGGCGGGATATAAATCCAAAAATTAAATTAAAAAAATAATAAAGTGTCACTTTATAGCTAAATGTACTAATGAGCTACTAAATAGCTGGACTATACACTTTTGTTAACCTTAATTATTTAAGATGGGGAGAGAGATACTCCAGGGGAAAACATATTCAGAATTTTTCTTAGCAGTGGTTCTCAGACTGTGGGTCAGGACCTAAATTTGGGTTGCAGCTATCTCCGAGATTACTTGCAAGGACAGGTGGGAAGAAGAGGAGCAAGGATTGCTGGGAGGGGAGGTTACAAGGCACTTCCAACATTTGCAATTTCAAAAGAAGAAGAGATTGGATTTATACCCCGCCCTTCACTTGAAGTCTCAGAGCAGTTTACAAACTCCTTTCCTTTCCCTTCCCCTCCCCACAACAGACACCCTGTGAGGTGGGTGGGGCTGAGAGAACTCTGGAACAAACTGCTCTTTTTCAAGGACAGCTGTTGTCAGAACTATAGCTTGCCAAAGGTCATCCAGCAGCTGCAAGTGGAGGAGTGGGGAATCAAACCCGGTTCTCCTAGATTAGAGTCCGCACACTTAACCACTACACCAAACTGGCTCTCACTATGTCCAGAATGTATTTATTCATTTATACCCTACTAGCAGTAAAGCCCGTTGTGAAAGCAATACAACGAGATCTAGAAAGAGGCTCTGGGGCAGTGCTCTGGCTTTGGGCAAACAGTGTCAATTTGCTGTGGTGACCTCAGCAGGGTATAATGACAGAGTCCACTGTTTTCTCCAGAGGAACTGATCTCTGCTACCTGAAGAGCAGTTGTAATTGTGAGTAATCTGTAGCCCTCACCTGGAGATTGGCAACAATTGTTACCCAGGACAAAATGGCTGGTTTGGAGAGTGGAATCTATGGCATTCTACCTGTCTGAGGTCCCACCCCTCTGCAAACCCCACCCTCTCCAGGCTCCACCCCTCAAATCCCCAGGAATTTGTCAGCATGTAGTTGGCAACCCCATCTCCTTCCCAGCTAGCCACCAACCTACCATTATCTGCCCCTTTGACTTCAGCTGACTTCTGCCCTCCCTTCTGCAGAGCAGTTGTAATACTGAGTGCTCTCCAGCCCTCACCTGGAGATTGGCAACAATGGTTCCCTATGTGAGACTGACTGGTTTGGAGGGTGGAGTCTATGGCAGTGTACCTGTCTGAGGTCCCACCCCTCCTCAAACCTCACCCTCTTCAGGCTCCATCCCTCAAGTCTCCAGGAATTTCCCATCTGGAGTTGGCAACCCTATCAGGACTGGCCCCAATGTGTTTTCTCCCAAAGGCCAAAGTAGGTGACAGGACCAAGCTTAGTTGCCTACCAACAGGCACTGAGGGGAATGTAGGGTTGCCAGCTCTAAGGAGGGAAATACCTGGAGGTTTGGGGGGTGGATTCTGTAGAGGGCCGGGCGACGGAGGCATCGGCCTTCTGTCCACCCCCACCCACTCCAGGGCCGACATCCGGCCGCAGGGTCCGTTTCCCCCCACTCAACCCCACTCACTCCAGGGCCGGCGACTGGAGGTGCAAGCCTCCGGCTGCCGGGTCCGTTTCCACCCCCCCCACTCCAGGACCGGAGACAGGAGGCAGAAGCCTCCGGTCGCCCACTCCCTTCCCCTCCCCCACCACCCACTCCCAACAGGCACTGAGGGGAATGTAGGGTTGCCAGCTCTAAGGAGGGAAATACCTGGAGGTTTGGGGGGTGGATTCTGTAGAGGGCAGCATTGGGCGGGGGGGGGGCGGAAGGACTCAGCAGGTATAATGTCATAGGGTCTACCCTCCTAAAGCAGTCATTTTCTCTAGGGGAACTGATCTCTGTCATCTGGAGATCAATTGTAGCAGTGGGAGATCTCCAGGTCCCACCTGGAGATTGGCAACCCTAGGGGAAAGTCAGCTGCACAGCAGGGGGTTGAAGAGAATGGTTTGATGGCTGCTGGGCCAAGATTGGCAACAATAGTTCCCCAGGAGCCCCATCGTAAATGCACCAAACAATTCCTCAAGATTTTCCAAAACACTACTCTGTTTTGGGCTCCTGGGGAACTTTGAAGTAGCACCAAAGCTTTAAGATCTCTCCAGCTGTCACCTGGAGACTGGCAACAGCTTGTCTGGAGTGTGGGCAGCATGGCATTGTATCTGTCTGAGGTCCCCCTCTTCCTCCTCCTCCTCAGATCCCACCCTCAGCAGGCTTCATCCCTAAAATATCCTGGAAGTTTCCAACCTGGAGTTGGCAACCCTATGTCCTGGAGTTCGAACCTGAAGTTGGCAACCATTAGCCAACGTTTATCTGCCTGTCTCTTTACAACCCCCCCCCCCCACACACACACACAGCCTCTCCCTAGGGAGCAGCTGACATCATTCTCCTCTCCCAACTGAAAATTCCAACTGCCTTACGGGGGGTGGGGGGTGGGTTTGAGGTGTGGAATGGAGTGTAGTCCAATCAGCTTCCATATGTAAATGACCTTGGAACGCTGGCCGGGACTGCACAAAGCAGCCAATGAACCCAGCCAGTGTCTTCCGAGTGGCAGTTTTTTCGGCCTAACACTAAAGGGGCCAATTTTAGAATTCTGGCACCCACTACTCTTTTATAATAAGGGAGAGATTATTCTCCCCAATGGAGACCCAAAGTGGCTTCCAACGTTCTCACTTCCTCCATTTTATCTTCACAACAACCCTGTAAGGTAGGTTTAAACGACATGTCGCTGGCTGAAGGTAACCCAGCAAGCTTCCACGGCAGAGTAGAGATTTTAATCTGGGTCTCCCTGATCCTAGTCTGACCCTCTAACCACTACCATGCTGGCTGTACTAGTAATCATGAAATACTGCCTTTTACTCAGCAATACTATGTATACTAAACATGAAACTAAAATACAAACTTATTCAATGTTAACCAATGAGATTACTATATTTTATTTTGGGAAGGGGGAAAGTATCATGGAGTTACTTTGCAAGTGGGCCTGAGTACAATAAGTTTTAAAGGAGGTTCCACTTTATAAAACAGTGGCATTCAAACTTTTGGGAGTTTTGGGGAATATATTCTGTTGCATGGCAGTCCTGACCATGTGGTATCTTTCACAGCAATTGTGCTAAAATGCATAGCTCTATGAAAACAGGGTGATGAAAATAAAGTATTTTAAAGTCTTGCGGTCACAAAAAAAGGATCTCATTACCCCTACCTAGCAATCCTGTCTCATTTAGCAGAGCCTTAAAATATTGAATGTATTACATTAACTCTATTGTCTTATCCACTGAAAAAGTCAATAGTTTGAACAAATCCAACTCCCCTTAATTATTCTTTTATCCAACAGTGCATACCATTCATTCTTTGTTTGCAAAAGTCAAACGTATGCAACCTTTGTGAATCTGAGTAAGTGCACTGTTAATTCAGGGGTGCGTGAACTCCTGTCATACTGCCATGGACGCTAGCAGGGCAAGATCTGCAACTAACACTATATATTTACAGGTACAGAAGGGTGGACCAGCAGATCTAGCTGGGTTGAAAGATGATGACATTTTGATAGAAGTGAATGGTGTGAATGTGGAAAATGAAGACTATGAAAACGTGGTGGCAAGAATCCGGGAGGGCAGCAACAGGCTGACACTACTGGTGCGTGCAGAAAAGACTCACCAGCACTTCAGGTCCGAGAATCCCTCTGCTGCTGCCACTTCTATGGCAGCTCTGCCACATGATTACAGTAATGATCCTCCTCCTTACACAGAGGTACAAGAGCCACAAAGACTGTTGTCAGAAGCACATGAGACGGTGAGTCTATCACACCGCTTGTAACGACTGAGTGGAAACACACAACTCTAGCAATAGCAAAAGACTCAATTAAAGCTACAATACTAAGTATATTTATTTCTACGTAAGCCCCAATGAAATCAATGGCACTCAGTTCCAAGTTAACATGATTAGGCTGTGAGTGGTCATGCAATCTGGCCATAATAGTGAAGAGTTAGCGGAGGAGACCAAGCTATTGACTTATACGTTCATGCAGTGCCTAAACCACCACTGATTTCAATGGACTTACACTGCAGTAACTCCATAAAGCACTGCACTATGAAACTCATTGTTAACTGTTAGCAATAGGCTGTTATTGTCCTGTCACAGGCTGGTTGCTGTCAAACAGATGGGGCTGCTGAGGATGCTAACTGTATCAAACACTCTGCTTATTTCTTCTGTAGGCCAGCTCGTCCTCCTCTTCACTCTCAGTTGACTCAGAAGAAGAAGATACCAAATTGTGAGGATGCCACAAACCAACATCTCCATCCTAATGGGCTACCCTAGCTTGTTCCCATTCTGAAGCAAAGTTAATATCACTATATATAAATGCTTATTTGAAACATATTCCCACTAGACGATGCAGGAATTACTCCTATTGGTCAGGTGGACCAATCGTATAATTGGTTTCAGTGGAGGAAGTGATTGTTGGATTCCTGAACCATCTTTGTTTAAGTAGCAAATCTGCCCACACTGACCACAATCCAGCACTGCAGTGCTTAAGTTTCATTAAAATAATTGTGACAAATGTATTTAATCCCGCTAATTAGAGATAGAGAGGCCCCTCAATGGTACATGAGCAGTTACTACATGTCTTCCAAATAAATTTTTCCCCCAATTTTTATTCTTTTTCAAAAGGAATACAGAATTCAACATTATAATACACAAATATAGGTTGCTTCACTTAGAGAAGAAAAAAAAGGAATAGTATAAGCTTTCTCTCTCATAACAACTAACATTCTTTCGGAATACAGAATACAGAGTGATAAACTTATAACTTGTCAACTGTAAATCATTATTTTATATCGAGCTTTATTGATGCTTTCCCAATTAAAGTTATCAAAGGTTATTTTTTTCTATCATGGGGAAATGTCTTCCAAATAAATACGCTATCAGTTTTTTTTAAAGCATATTGTATTGCATCTTCTGTCTAGCAGAAAATTTTGAGACAGCCATTTTAAACCCCCCCCCCAAAAAAAAAGATTTAAGCTTTGTTCCTGAGGATGTAAACCTCTTTTCTGTCCCAGCAAGCTGCAGACTGTCAACTTGTAGAGTGACATGCCCAGAGTTGTTAGCTAGCCTCAATACTAACTCTATGCATTTGCTAAATAAATAAAAATGAAAAAATGCACATCTGCTATCTACTGTTTGATCATAGAACTTACACAGTGTTGTCTTAATTCTTCTATCAGGAAGAGGCAGAGAGGTTTCTTAAATGAAACATGAACTTTGGTCAAGATACAGAAGTGTATCTGTCAACTCTCATGACTTTGGATTTTAATTTTTGACAATGCCATCTCTGCTTCTATTTCCCCTTTCCCACACATTGTGGTGCAGTAAGAACTTTGTTAGACTGGGAGGGGCAGCCATGAAGGAGCTAGAAAAGATTCTTGAGTGTAAGGATGTGTCACTGGCAACCAAAGTCAAGATAGCTCATACCATAGTTCATACCATTTTCCCTATTACTGTGTATGAGTGTGAAAGCTGGACAGTGAAGAAACCTGATTCATTTGAAACATGGTGTTGGAAGAGAGTTTTACAGATACCATGGGCTGCCAAAAAGACAAATATGTGGGTTCTAGATCATATCAAGTCTGAATTCTCCCTAGAAGCTAAAATGACTAAACTGAGGCTATTGTACTTTGGTCCCATTATGAGAAAGCAAGAGTCAATGGAAAAGACAATAGTTCTTGAAGAAGTTGAAGGCAGCAGGAAAAGTGGAAGATCTAACATAAGATAGGTTGACTCAGTAAAGGAAGCCACAGCCCTCAGTTTACAAGACCTGAGTAAGGTTGTTAAAGACAGGACATTTTGGAGGTCACTAATTCCTAGGGTCACCAAAAGTCAGAAGCAACTTAACAGCACTTATAAAGGTAAAGATTCCCTTGCTCGAAAGCCAGTCGAATCCGACTCTAGGGTTGCGGTGCTCATCTCCATTTCAAAGCCGAAGAGCCAGCGCTGTCCGAAGACGTTTCCGTGGTCATGTGGCCGGCATGACTAAACACCAAGGCGCACAGAACACTGTTACCTTCCCACTGAAGTGGTACCTATTTATCTACTTGCAATTTCTTGCTTTCAAACTGCTAGGTTGGCAGAAGCTAGAAGTAGAGACGGGAGCTCACTCCGTCATGCGGCACACTTGGGTCTCAAACTGCTGAACTACCAACTTTCCACACCCTGCAGTTCAGCGTCTTAACCACTTGAGCCACCGCAGCTCCAACAGCACTTAACACACACACTAAAACCTTTCTTTTTTAACAGGCCTCACTGGGTAATAAAAAATGCTGGTTAACGAAACCGATACTGTAGCCATGACCAGGATCTACTACCAGCTTCTCCACAGCCTGAAAACACGTCGAGAAGAATAGGCAGTGGCTCCTGGTGGCCACAGGTACTACCCACTCAACAGCAGCATAAGCAGGTAGCACCCATAACTTGAACGCACCTCCTGCTCCCATACCACCAATCACCTATGGGGCAACAAAAGGGTAGGGAGGAAGGGGGAACAGTAAGAACCCAGCCTTGAGCACCACCTGCTCAGCAGCAGGTAGCCAGAGCCTGCTCCATCACTGCTCACTCACCCTTGAGCAGTCAGCAGTGTCCAGCCTCCCAGTTAACAGAGTCTGCCAGTGAACACAGCTTTTACTGTATTAGTTTTAGCTGGATATATTAGGTGAGGTGCTTCCTAGATGAGAGATCTAATCAGTTATTTCATTTAAAACTACTAGTTTTGTCTTGTTTCATCTGCATGAGCTGCCAGTTAAGTGTCTAGGCCTCTTCTGTGCCTACCTTGACACCACGAGCATCTTCAAAAGTCCCTTTTTTCATGCATGCTCACTGGTGCTGTGATGGAAGGCCAAAAGAGAGAGCCTTTTCAATAGCAGTGCCATCGCGATGGAGGGTCTGCCTGCCCCTCTGTTTACTAACATTTCCAAAATGAGTGCTTTGAGTATTAAACTGTGGTGGCTTACTTTCAGCTGATGACTGCCTTATGACTGTTTCTAGCCTGATGATTGATTTTATTCTTCTGACATGTCTTAGTCTTTTGTTTTGACTATTTTGAGTTTGCTGTAAGCTGGGGATGCCACCAAGGACTGAAGGGCAGGGCAGAAATGTGTTTAAAAAACCCTTTGTTTTCTTAATTCCTTACTACCATCCCAATGTTCTATGGTCTGAAAATACCATGTCTCCTAAGCTCCACTTCCTCCCACATGCATGTCTGCTCATCCAATCTTCACACATACTTTACTAATCCACCTTTTACTGTTCCCTTCAGCTCCTTGTTAAGTTATGAAGGGATGTGAAACTCACACACTATTCCTGGCAGAAAAAGCTGCGGAAGCCAGTCTCCTACTGAGTCTTTTTCACTACTCCCCTCCTTGTAAAGCTTATGCAGGATCTCTAAACTTTTTTTAAAAACTACCTAATATTCTGCCTAACTATACATTTTCAGTGTTGTGTCTGCCACTGCTCTAAGTATTTTCTTACCCTAAGAAGCAAAAATGCCATGTGACTATTGCAAAGCAAGACAGATTGCCTTCAGAAGAATTGGTATTGGTCTAAGAAAGGCTTAGAGAACAGTGGCTGCCTCTGAGAAGAGCCCCATTGGCAATATTAGATTTGTGTGGGATCTACAAGGAGAACATCTTGTAGACAATACACAGATACGCTTGACATCAAATTCCTAGATCTCAGTTCTATTCATAGTGTGGAAGGAAAATAAGTGAGGGCAAGCCTAAGATCAAATGAAACAGTAAAAGGCTGAGATTCATCTCCTTAAAACATGGCTGCATAGCCCATCAGACACATACTGTAGCTTGCAGGGTACTAAATAATCTACCTGCTTTTGCATTCCCAATCTGGCAGCAAATCCAAGTTCCTTGTGCACCTCCCCCCACCTCAGTGGTCTGCATCAGCCTTCATGGAACACAAGTTATGCAGAAAAACTCAGACACCAGAAACTGAACATTTTTCATTCCTCCTCTAAGCAGTAATTTATGGTTGATGAAAACATTATTGTGAAGCCAGACCTTATTAGAAATCTTGGTTTATTGAGAGGTTCATTCCAACACCTCTATTCTCCAGGATTACAGCACATGCCGTACAATCCTATGTGCAGATACTGTAATCCCACAGATTTCACTGGCCTTTGACTGGAGTAATTCCACACAGGACTGCATTATTAGGCAGACATTTTGCCAGTCACCTTTCTCGCTGAAGCTCACCCATCCTCTTTTTATAGAGCAATCACCTCAAGTTTCTTCAGATATTCTTTTATGAACGATTTCATCTCAATCGTGTCCCAAAAAACTGAATTAAGTACTTTGAGGCTCTCGGCTGTTTCTTGCCACTCTCTGCCCAAGCCGAACCATTTACGGGAGCCAAACAGTTGGTCACCGGTCAGAGAAAGAGTCACGGCAGGATGACAGTGTGCCAAGTGCACTGTTGTTCTTCCAAAAGGCACTGGGGAACCATGATGGACTTAGAGTGCCATATGCTTCTCGGGCGCCTGCTTGTGTGCTAGGTAGAGGAAGAGAATGCTGGAGAGAGCACTGACAAGGAATATAACATCAAACCAGCGGTGGTAGAAGTTAAACTGTAATTCCCCGAGAACTTCAGTAATTATAGTGCGATACTCCAGAGGCATGCTCATCCGAATCAGAAGTACTGAAGATACAAAATACATCCCCTGCAAAGAAGACAGAGAAACATCAGAAATCCAGCAGCTACGGCTAAGAAAAGCAAGAAGCAGTTTACATGTCAGCTAAAACACTCACCATGATCTGTGCCAGCAACAGAACTATGACATTGGAGGACTTGCTGCTGGAGATAGCATAGAAAAACTGGAGAGGAAGACAACCACCAAAAATAAAGGTCAGATGTGATCACACTCCCACAGAGGATAAAACATGCACTTGAGTGTTTTTAATTATGTTCATAGGACTAAAACAGAAAGCTATCCCTCTGACAGCCATCATTCACAGCAGGACCCTCAGACGACATGCTACCATCACGACCAAGAACAGCAGAGATCTTGTAAACAGCAACAATTTATTTGAAAGAGCTCCTACATTTTTCTAAACTGTCAGTAGAGTCAGGGAGATTTTTGACACAGAACTTTTTTCACCCAGTTTCTTTTTTTTTTATTTCATAAGACATACAAAGACAAACATACATAAATACAGGTTGAGGGAATTCATTTGTATCATTATTTAACCTAATTATTGACCTCATACAATATCCAAAATATTAATTTCTTTTATCCACCTTATAATTTTCATGTATACCTTTTGCTTATAATTAAACATATAGTTCTTATTTCCTTTTATTTTGATTATAAGTCTGGAAGTTTTATATGTTATACTCTTATGTCCATTTATAAAATCTTGACCATGTGTCCTCAAAATTTTGTTTATTATGTCCTCTCAAAATTGAAGTTAAATTGTTTTTTCACCCAGTTTTTGATGGTCTCCCATAATGCTGTCCACATTTACCTCAGATCACAGCCAAGTTATGTATTTATGAAGGCTGACAACAAGAAGTTTTGCTCTGCCTGAAAGCAGTCCTGACTGTCCTTATGCACACATTCACAGGGGCAAGCACAAGAGGACTAAGGAGGTGCTGAGGCTCACTGCTAGCACACATGCTTTGCATGTAGGACATCCCTGGTTCACTCCTTGGCATCTCCAGCTAAAGGGCCTTGGGAAGCAGGAGCTGGGAAAGACCTTTCTCTGTCTCTGCTGCTGGAAAGCAACAGCCAGTTGGGCTTATTTTCCTTTCCTTCCAGATTCCCAAAGAGTGATTAACACATGGAATTCACTGCCACAGGAGGTGGCGGTGGCTACAAACATGGACAGCTTCAAGAGGGAATTAGATAAGCATATGGAGCAGAGGTCCAGCAGTGGCTATTAGCCACAAGGTATAGATAGGAATTCTCAGGCTGGGGCAAGTGATGCTCTGTATTCTTGGTGCTGGGGGGGGGGGCAACAGTGGGAGGGCTTCTAGTGTCCTGGCCCCACTGGTGGACCTCCTGATGGCACCTGGTATTTTTGGCCCCACTGTGTGACAGAGTGTTGGACTGGATGGCCCATTGGCCTGATCCAACATTGGCTTCTCTTATATTCTTATATTTGTCACATGAGTACACAACCTGGGATGGTTGTGCTTTTTGCATTTAGAACAACCTAACTGGGAGCTCCAAAAATACCTTAAGGGAGAGTCCATCATACTGCTTAAGACATGACATTTAAAAACAGAAGATCTTGCTCAGCTGTTCTAGTAAGTATCAAAAGTATAAAATTCCAAGTCAGTTTCCAAGAATAGTAGAAATGGATACTGTATCATGATTTATACAACTCCTCAGTGACTAAGGCGATGCAATAGGACTTCACTGCAGTGAGCTACCAGTCACTTATATACCAGTGCTAAACATAAAAGTACATTGTTAAGATATCATGGGTTCCACATCACTGTTAGATGGTTTCTAGCAGATGGTTTTTAAATGGTTCCACTATGAGTCTAAATTATGATACGAAAACTAGTAAGAAATTGTTATTTGAATTTCTGGCAGAAGAATGTCCCCTAACTCAGACTTTACTATTACCTGCTACAGTACGTCTCAACTAACTAGACCAAGGTAAAGGTTTCCCTTGCTCGAAAGCCAGTCGAATCCAACTCTAGGGATGCGGTGCTCATCTCCATTTCCAAGCTGAAGAGCCAGCGCTGTCCAAAGATGTTTCCGTGGTCATGTGGCCGGCATGACTAAACACCAAGGCGCACGGAACACTGTTACCTTCCCACCGATGTGGTAGCTATTTATCTACTTACAATTTCTTGCTTTTGAACTGCTAGGTTGGCAGGAGCTGGGACCAGAGATGGGAGCTCACTCCGTCATGCGGCACTCAGGTCTCGAACTGTTGAACTACCAACCTTTCGGTCTACAGTTCAGCGTCTTAATTACCTGAGCCACTGCAGCCCTAACTAGACCAAGGGAATTTCTTAATAGCAGAACTATATGTTCCCCCCCGAAAAAAAAAATGGGGCTGCTGCCTAAAACAGAATTCTTGTTTTGCATCCTCTCCTCCTCTTCTTTAACATGTAATTTATCTTTCTTTGTGCTCTAGTGTCAGTACAGTGAACATTTTCCTGGCTCTTCCAAGGACAGCCAATGCACACAGCCAGGGCTAGAAGAAACATTCAGGATAATGGAAATGGATTTATGGAAATGAAGGCGAAATGACACTGGGTTGTGGTTTTTAGTGGCAGACCTGTGTATTTTTAACATGTAGTTTGCTCTAAAATTTTTACCAGAGAGCAATAGTCAACCTAATTCACACACCACATCTGGCTCAAATACAGTTGTTTAAAAGACCATACTCCAGCTTACCTTTGTGAGTGTTATCAATAAACCTCTGATAGAGGTGACTATAATTATTCCAACAAGGATAAATGAAATATGCTGGGACCAGAATTTTACCTGCAATAATACAATCAGGAAATAGTCACAGTTCTAAAGATATTTATAGCACCATCAGCAGAGAATATGAATTTGATAAGCCATCTCATTTCACATTATATTTGTGAAAGAAAACAACATCTCCTATAGGAGTTGATTAAAGAATATTTTCAGATATTTTCTGTATTCCTGCAGATCTTGCTAGCAGTGAAAATGCAGATTGAGAAAACTATAAAGCATTTGCATGCTATCTGAATGAACACGGGAACTACTGCCATCTTCTGGAGCAGCAGAAAACTAGGACCCAATTCTTTTAAAAAGAAGCACTCTGACTGAGATACTAATGTTAGGTATAACTTTCCTACTGGTACGGAATAACTCACTGTATAGACATTTCCAGTAAGGAAAAAGCATTAGAATAGTTATGACAAACTATTGACAAACAAAGACAAACAATTTTAAACAACTTAAATTTTTCACATTATGAAATGATATCCAACTGGTTCTACAGAATTTGGAAGGGTATAAATGAGAGATAGATTTAGACAGCAGTACAAAGGTAACATTCCTGCAATATAACCCATTCAGGAAGAATTTCAGCATCACTATTTACTAGTAGGGAGCAATGCTCCCTCTAAGCTGTGGAGTCTTGTGAGCAAAAATTCTATTTTGTGAGCTACAGGCATTAAAGTTGTGAGTGAGCGTTTTGGCTGCTGCAGAAATTAGTTTGCTCTGGAGCCATCCTTCCTGAGCTAAGACAGAAATCTGTGAGCTGAGGCTAAAAAACTGTGAGCTAGCTCACACTAACTCAGCTTAGAGGGAACACTGGTAGGGAGTATCATCTATATATAAAAATGAAAGTCCCCTCACCGTAAAATCAACACCCAGGCCAAACCGCTGGACCTAGAGACACCAAATTCAGGGAGAGTACTCACACCGTGGCGTAGGTGCTCGCTAAGAAGGGATTTTTAGAAATTCGACCCCTAAGAGGGTCAAAAGGGAGAAAATGTGCTCCCCCCATTGATTCTTATGAGGCTGCCAGGCAGCTCTCTCCCTGCACCCCCCACTCTCTCATTGGTCAGCTGCAGAGCTCAGAGTTCTGAGGGAAAACAACCAACAGTTACAGGGGACTGCAGACGGCTATTGATGGTTGAGGAAATCAGGAGTGGCCAACAAGCACCTGTGAGGTTCAGTAATGCTGCTGGCCCAGCCTCTCCGATGGCTTCCAACACACTCCCCCCACCTCCTACACCTAACAGGCAGTTGTCTGTCAGGTGCAGCCCCACCTCCACAGTGGCTTCTAGTAGTCCTCCCCCCTCCCCCTCCTACACTGGACAGGCAGCTGTCTGTCAGGTGTAGGAAAGGAGGTGGGACGGCTACCAACACACTCCCCCCACCTCCTACACCTAACAGGCAGTTGTCTGTCGGGTGCAGCCTCACCTCCACAGTAGCTTCTAATACTCCTCCTGCTCCCCCTCCTACACTGGACAGGCAGCTGCCGGTCAGGTGTAGGAGAGGAGGTGGGATGGCTTCCAACACACTCCCCCACCTCCTACACCTAACAGGCGGTTGTCCGTCGGGTGCAGCCCCACCTCCACAGTGGCTTCTAATACTCCTCCCCCTCCTACACTGGACAGGCAGCTGTCTGCCAGGTGTAGGAGAGGAGGTGGGATGGCTACCAACACACTCTCCCCACCTCCTACACCTAACAAGCGGTTGTCTGTCGGGTGCCCCACCTCTACAGTGGCTTCTAATACTCCTCCCCCTCCTACACTGGACAGGCAGCTGCCTGTCAGGTGTAGGAGAGGAGCTGGGATGCTTACAGCCGCCGGGGAGGTTTGCTCAGCAGGATTGCCTTAGCACTGCTGCTGGCCCAGCCTTCCCAATGCCTTTAAATACAACCCCCCCCCCAACACCAGACAGGCCGATGTCTGTCAGGTGTAGGAGCAGGGCCAGGGTATGAATGTTTATGGGGAGATAAAGGACATTTCTAGGAGCCATTTCGATGCCTGCCTCCCTCATGAACCTGAAGAAATGTCCACCACATCACCACTCCATAACACCAACTCCCCCTCACACCTCTCACCTCTTACTGCCCCCAAGAAAGCTCCTGGCAAACGTCGAGCCAGATACACCAACGCTACAAGGAGGAGGCAACTTAGGAATGCGGCAAAGACATTTGCACACAGTACTCCTGCAGTGCACTGAGCTGCACAGGCCAAGTACCAGCAAGATCACCCTGAGGTGCTCAGAACGACACAGGCTCCATATGAGCAAAACAATCCAGGAACACAAGTAGAGAGGCCATCACTTTCGTGGAAGGTGGCAGGAGTGGACTTAACAGACGACTGCTTCTTAAATGGACAGTTCTATGTGGCCTGCTCCAGAGTGAGCTCATCAAGCAGCCTGGTCATCCTAGCACCTGAGGGCAGAACCACCAATGTGGTCTAGAGAGAGGTCCTTCAATAGAGAAAAAAAAATACACCTGTCTCACTTCATTTCTTACAATACAATCTTCTCTGTTAGAATTCCTACAACAAATGTCACATTTCAAATTTCACATCATCAGTATTATAACTGGATTTACGGAACTTAAATACCGTAGCAAAGCACGGGTAGCAGGCTAGTTAGAGATAAAGAGCAAATACTGAAAAGCTTTTATGGTTTCTTTTTTCCCGGGGATAACCTGTAATTGCTTCTGGGCAAGTGACAGGCAGCTACAGAGAAAGTTCTGCAATGTATTTCTAATAGCCTATCATCTATGCATGCAAAAGGGGATCTTTATTTTCCCTTTTGCTACTCAGCCACCTCTTGAATTTTAGCCCAAGCATGCAAGCATCCAGAGTTGCAACTGCTTAATGACTGATCAATGTGAAACTGGTGCCGGGGGAGGGGACGGCAGTGGGAGGGCTTCTGGTGTCCTAGCCACGCTGCTGGACCTCCTGATGGCACCTGATAGCACCTGGTAATTTTGGCCACTGTGTGATGGAGTGTTCGACTAGGTGGGCCATTGGCCTGATCCAACATTGGCTTCTCTTATGTTCTTAACCTGATAGTATCTATACAGAACATTACTGGTATGGAAAAATCTGAAGAATAACTTTACAAGAGCCCAAGACGTTGCACATGTTCAGTGGTATTTTTTTTGTCATTCTTCCTTTTCAGCTAACCCTCCAGACCATATCTAAAACTGTATTTAGCATTCAAAGAACAGCTTCACATGGCAGTGAAGCCTTCCATTCAGAAAAGATATCCAAGTCTTCCTCTGGCTATACAGTTCTTGAATCCTAGCCATGGTTTAGCAATCACAAGATACACCAAGAGCCAAAGACTGCAAAGCTTTTCAACTCATCCGTAAAAAAATTTGAATGATTGAAAAATTCTGTGCTGGTTTCCTGTCCCATAAATGGGGTGGGCTGAAGAATGAAACTGTATGAAGCCAACATTCATCTACCCATTAAAAAGCTGACCCATATTCTATAGGCACATATCTTAAAATCAGTGTTGGGGCAAAGTAAATGCAGGGCTTGTTAAAGCACTGAATATTCCTAATAGTAATTAATTGCTAGTCTCTCACCAGAATGAAATCCACCCAACACAATACTGTCTTCTGTTAAGTGTTTGACTTTAGAATGAATGTCAAGACAAGTCACCGAATGGTTATGCTAGCAAGTGGAGTATATTATGTAGCTAAAGGAACATTTCCTATCTAAAAGCCACATTCTGAAATACCTTTTATTAGACCCTTAAGCTATCCCTACCCAGGTGTAAAAGTATTTGACTTAGTTTCCCGCTGCACCAAGCAATAGCTTGGCTCTGTGTAAATAACCCACTCCCTTCTCTCCTTCCTTTTATCTCCTACAACTCCCTTATTCTCTCTCTGGTTAGCTGTAGATCAGTTTGTCATTACATCTGGACTGGCAAACTATGGTTTGCACTTGCCTGGCAAACAAAAACTGCAACCTATTATCATGACTTTCCATTCTAATTTACAGGGAAAACACAAGCTGTGGTTTAATAGTTCAGATATAACTTACAAATTGTGGTTTGCTTACAGCTGGGAAGGGGCATGTGAGCTCACAGCTTGTCCTAGGCTTACATAACGCCAACCCATGGTTTGGCCTTGCATCTAAGCCAAGCCAAGATCAAATTCTGAACAGCACACAAAAAAATATTACTGAAAGGTTAAAATTGGGGGAGGGGGGAGTCTCACATCAAACTGGATTCCCAAATAATTTACAGTAATCTCAATTCCTCTTGTGACTGGATCAGTTTTCCCAACCCGGTCAAATACAATATTGATG